AGAAGCGGCAGCAGAAGAAGAGAAAGAGAGGATGAGAATTGAGAGTGGGGAAGGAAGTAGTGGTGGCACGATGAAGTGGGAGACAGATACTGAGATGGAGAAGAAGATCAGCGAGTGGGTCGCTAATTTATCGTTGGGGGAAGACGAGGAGGCGGAGTCCTATGTGACTAAGGATGAGAAGGCTGCGCTGGCCGCTGAGCTAGCAGCCATGACAGACCCAATGGAACGAAGAGAGAGGGAAGACGAGCAAAAGTTAGCATGGAAGTTGAGAATTAAGAGGGAGAAGAAGAGGAGGAGAGAGGAAGTGAATAAGATGACCGCCGCAGTGGCAAAGGTGCAGGAGTGTAGAGCGGAGGTGCTGGCCCAGCCAGATGATAAGGCCAAGTGGGACAAAGTACTGGGCTATCTAGABGTGTTGAGCAAGGCCTGGATGGAGGAGCGCCAGGCAAGCTGGAGCCAGGATGTAGCGTTGAGTGCCATGCGGTCCGAGTTCAGGGATTTTGCGCGCGAAATCGTCACCCATATTGGGGGTGAAGTCAAGCAATTGAGAGACAACGTAGGGAAGTTTTGTGAGGGCGCCATTCAGGGTGCCAAAGCTGCAGCCGCTGTAGAAGGAGAGGCCAGACCCCGTAAGGACCCAGTGAAACTTAAGTTTCCAGACGCGTACGGGGTGAAGAAGGACGAGAACTTTGACAACTGGGAGGCCAGTGTCAATAGTTACATTTATTTACAGCATATCCTAATGGAGGAGCAAGTCCTCGTGGCCTTCCAGGCCTTGAAGGACGAAGCGGCTAGCTTCGCCAGGTCTCTCGTGCGTACAGCCGGTTGTGAAAACAACCTGGTTGCATATTCTAAAGTCACCCCTCTTTCCCAATTCCTCAGGCTCCTCAAGGAGCGTTTCGCTGACCCAACGAGAGGCATAAGAGCCTCTGACAAGCTTCAAACGATCCACTCACGGCAGTGGAGGAGTGCCAAGGCACTCAAGGGTACCATGGACGACTTGGTAGCTGTCCCGGACCATGGGGTCACTGAGCCCCAGCTGGTTAAGTTGTTTTATCGTGCCATTCCAGAGGCTAACGTGGGCATTTCTTTGACAAGTCTCAGCAGGCCGGCATCACATACGATCAGTTGAGTCACGAAGTCGTCCTGTATGAGTCGAAGTCTATCCCAGTTACCACTTTCTGGCATAAGGACTTAGAGAAGGGGAAGAAGTGGAAGAATCGTACCATCTCAGGCCAAGTAAAGGCCAAGGATCACATGATCCTGACATTAGAAGAAGGTGGTACCGATGAGGTCCCATATGACCAGATTGAGTGGGGCCTTGAAGATGATGGCAGTAGTGTGGGGCAGGGGAGGTCTTATGCTGCTGTCGCGGCTGGAGGGAGGCCGCAAGGAGGAGGAGGAGGCCAGGGCCAAAGGGGCCAGGCCATGGGAGGCCGAGGACCGGGCGCACAGGGGGTTGGCGGACAGGGAAACTGCCAAGCGGGAGGTAGGGGTCAAGGTTCCCCGTCAAATCGCCAGGGTAATCGGTCCCCACAACGAAGAGGTGGAAGGGCACCTCAAGGAGGTTGGCACCCAGGCTTGCCACAGGGCAGGCCCTGGGAAGACTTGGGCTTGGACTATGGCAGGAACGCGTGAACATGGGTCAGTGCGTATTTTGTGGTGACCCGGCGCACGCAATTAAATTTTGTCCTAAGTATAGACAGGCCCGTTGGGCTGCTCAGCAGTCAAAAGGCAGCTGCCAGTAGGGGTCGCAACTGCCCCTACTTCAAGGCCATGTGGAGAAGTGAGGGCGCGCGAACAGGACACTCCCAACCCACATGAGCCTATGGCATAGGTTGCAGGCCCGTGCCTAGATGGCTGTCCAGAGACTGCTTGTGTTAGCGTCTCCTTAGGCACGTCCCTCACAGGTGTGGCAGAAGAGTTAAAGGAGAGGATGCCAGCCTGGGCCAAAATGAAAAAGGAGAGTAAGGGACAGCTGATCTTAGTAGATGTAGAGGTCGTCCCCAGAAACAGTATAAAGTCCGGTTTGCCTATCAGGAACCGGAAGACGACCGCTGGTTCACGAAAGCAGAACTTCTAGAGACTGCTCCCGACATAGTCAGAGCCTATGAGCATGACAAGAAAGGTAAAGGTCCCGCCTTGGACTAAAATTTTCTCGGAGGACCTCGAATTTAGGACGGCGGGAGTGAAACGGTTTTCACCTTTTAGCAGTAGCCTCGAATTTAGGACGGCGGGAGTGAAACGGTTTTCACCTTTTAGCAGTAGCGGATGCAGTACCCAGGGTTTGATCCCTAGACCTCACCCTACCCATGTACAGTATCTGTGTAGACCTCGAGAATTGAACCTGTGACCTGTGTATTCGTAGGCAGTTGGTAGACCTGTCGTAGGTCCATAGACAGCAGGGGTTCGATCTGAGGGTCTATAGTGTAGGAGTCTTAGTGAGTTCTGGAAGCTTAGCTGTMGACCTTCTAGAAGATAGGCAAGTGGTCAAGTGGCGAGGCAAGTGGTGGACTGAACCGCAGTGCAACAGCAGTACAACGTCGGTAGGATGGCGGTGAGTCCACAGTCAGTCAGCGGAAGGTCCAGTCAGTCCCAGTCCGGTCCAGCAAGTACCACAGGGGGACTGTGAGCACCAAGGGCCGATGGCAAAGGGCAGACCAACGAGTTTCTGAAGTATAAATCAAGAGGCAGCGCCCAGCCATTCATCCATTCCTGCGTGAGCCATGCGGAAGCGCTGCCACAGCGACTTGTGCAAGGAGGTCTGCAGATGAGCCCGGAGGACGCAGTGGGCAAGAGAGGAGGAGTTAGCATAGCGATAGGTTAGAGGCTGCCATAGCTGCCATAGCTGCCATAGCTGTAGTTAGTAGTGAGTGTGTGTGTGTGCTCGAGTGTTAGAGTGATGCGTGTGGGATATCCAGGGTGATCCAGTGTATGTGAACAGTGAGATGTTTGGTCGCTGAAGTCGCCATAGCCAATTGAGAGTGAACTCGTATCTGAAAGCCATATCTCTGAGTTTTGAGTGGGCGCATGTCGCCAGTATACTGCGTTGCTGTTTACATGCATGAAAAGTGTGTTTGAGAACGAGTCTGATTGCAACAACAACAAGTAGCAGGAAATTGGAGGATGAAGAAAAGAAGAAGAAATTTGGAGGAAGAAGAAGAAGAAGAAGAAGAAGAAGAAGAAGAAGAAGAAGAAGAAGAATGGAGGAAGAAGAAGAAGAAGAATGGAGGAAGAAGACGAAGATGAAGAAGAAGAAGAAGAAGAAGAAGAAGAGGCCAAAGCAGAAGAAGAAGAAGAAGAAGAAGAAGAAGAAGAAGAAGAAGAAGAAGAAGAAGAAGAAGAAGAAGAAGAATGAAGAAGAAGAAGAACAAGAAATTTGGAGTAGGAAACAAAGTGCAGACTGAAGAAGTAAACTTTAAACCACCACTCTATCTGACACCGAAAAGAGGCATTCTGCTGAGTTCGGAGCGGGTCTTTAGCGGGTCCACTCCTGCAATTTTCATGTGCCAACTTTGGCGAATTTCCGCGCTCAGAAAAATTAAGAAAAAAATCTGAAAATTTGAGATGCTGTAGATTAAGTCGTGATCTTTTCAGGAAAAATATCAGAAATTTAAAAAAAAAATCATTTAGCCCATGAAATAAATGCCGAGCCAGTTCGTGACATTTTCTATTTTGTCACTCTACAACTTGTGGCCCAACGGGAAAAGTCCCCCAATTTCAGCGATTTTTCATGCTCGAAAGAATATGCAAATAAATTCTGAATATCGGAGGGTCTGTAGATTTGGTTGTGATCTTTGCAGATAAAATATTTAAAAATATTTTAAATTTTGTTTCGAGTTTTTCAACCATGAAATAGGTCGTGGCGGCAATTCATCGCATTTTCCATTGTCGCCGCTGTGCCAGTTCTCCACACTATGCGACCGGTAGCCTCATGATTGGGTACTTCGGACGGGACTCTTCTGATGTGACTCTTCTGATCGGATTTTTGTCACTCTTCTGATGGGACTCTTCTGATGGGACTCTTCTGATGGGACTTTTCTGATGGGACTCTTCTGATGGGACTCCTCTGTTGGGACTCCTTTGTTGGGACTCCTCTGTTGGGACTCCTCTGTTGGACTCTGGTGATCGTCCGTCACAGTTATGGGACCATTCCCTATCTGTAGAGAATGGAACCATGCTAATCTTTTTCTGTTATAGTACCAATTCTAAAGGATGTCCCAGAGGACTTTTCGGCATGGCTGTGCCGGCAACCGGCCGGTTGGACCGGAATTCCTGTTGGGCACAAAAGTGGGTCAATTTTTTTTTTATTTTTTTTTTTGAAAACATGGTTGGACTACGCTCACCGAGATCTCCCCGAATC